TCTCTGATTTGACAGATTATCAACATTGTTACTAATAGGTTGAGCATGTAAATATTGGCTAAATCTATCAACATTTTTAGATTTATTACCAGCCTTCTTCCACGAGATTCTTCCTCCTCTGATGAACATAGACCAAGTAAATCAGCCTGTTCACGACTGTCTGGATGTAGAGAAATTTATGACCTATTGTCAAAATCTACATTTCTAATTCTAGGACTTCCCAAATCCTCATGAAGATTTGCCTTCAAAGATATTAACGGTCTACACTCCCTTGCACTTGGGACGTTATCCAAACTTTGTTCTCTCTGTGTGGCTAAACCACCAGATTGAGAAATCTCTGTAACAGTTGAACTACCTGTAGTAGCACATGACTTGTTGAAAAAGGCAAATAACATTTTTCTAGTTTCCAGACAATAACTTGTGTTCAAGTGTATGGATCTCTCTGAAATTGTACTGCAAGGTACCATACCATAAAGGGAAGGCTGGGATGGAGTTTGGGGGTGATGAATCATAAGGGGGTTCAAAAAATTTGGGGGGAGGGGATTTTTTTTCCCTATTTTTTCTTTAAAATTTTCCATTTTGAATTGGTTATTTCTGATTTATATATAAAAGCAAATAATAATGATATGGTTTGAATAGGTAAATTAAAAATGTTTAAGTTCTTAGACCACATTCATTCTGTGTCAGAAACCTATGCTGTGTCAAATATTTAATTACAATCCAAATTCAGTGCTGTATCAAGCTTGAATGTTGTGTCCATACTTGCCCCAACTGTTCAGGGTTCGACCTCTGCGGTCGTATCAAGCTGTGCCCAGCAGAGCATTTTATTATCTTTTCTTTAATGATTATTCTATTGATCACTGTCCATCATGTGTTCATGTAGAATTTCAAATTATATAATAAAAAAAAGGCTGGTATTGGTCATATTTCCATGAATAACAGTAATTGAATGTAATGCAAAATGTCACAGGACAGAAAGTCACAATTCTGTTTTGAGAGAATATTTTCTTTGACTAAGAAATTCATCGAAAAAACTTACTTGTTAAGACCTTTTTTTTCTCAAACTATTCACTGTATAAAGAAAGGAATTAAAGAGTATTGATATCTTAAATTGTCCATCTTGGGGCTTGTCGAATCAATAATGTTGTCATGAACAACGTTGTTAAGGGAATACTATGTGTCTGTGATCAAATGTCATTGTTGACACAGTCCCTTTCTATAATCCTCTGAAGAGACTGGGCACTTAAAAAACGGGAAAAATTTGATTTTTTCATCCAGCGCAAGTTTCTAAATGTTCACTTTTCAGGATTTGTAATTTTTAATAATATAAATGTCATTTATTTACCATTGAAAGTTCCATACTAAAAGAAGAGAAAAGAAATGAAATTCTGTTAAACATTTGTACAAAAATGGACATTATTTCCTGTCAGATTTGTAACATTTTTTCCATATATTTATCAAATTTGTTCCTTTTTTTCCTACCAAACTTGTGACTTCATCTATTTACCAAATATTAGTATGACCCTATATAATCTGTGAAAAAAATACACACCTAACACACATATATACGGACCCATTGGTCTCGTCGTAGCATGCTCACAACAAGTACTAGAGGTCGGTGGTTCCATCCTTGTCAAGCCAAAGACTGAAATTTATCTTTGCTGGTTCTCTGCTAAGCATGCAAAAGTTAGTAGAAAGAGCAAAGACTGGTCGGCCATGAGTCAGAATAGTGTGTTTGGTTAGGCCGTTAGGGTATCATGTCTTCCTGCAAATGGTTACCTTGTGAACTGGCACAACTTGTTGGTCTAGTACAAATCAGGGTTCTTATGCATATCACATTGACATGTTCTAGTCCTGAATATGCCTTTAATTTGTCACTTGATGTTAAACAGCCATCCAACATCATTATCCTAACACACATATTATTTTGTAGGCCATAATACTTGCAATGGACATTGGACCAAATAGAAAATATGTTCATTGGATGGTCTTATTCAGAAATTATTAGTCCCCTACCGACGAAGTCGAAGTAGTCAGAATAGTGTCAGTTTTCCACAATTTTTTTCTTCGTGCTTGAAGATATTGATTTGAAATTTGGTATGTAGTTTTATCATGACAAGTTACAGATCAAGTTCGAATTTTGTTACGGTCTTATGATTTTGTCCAGAGTTATGGTCCTTGGACTTAGAAAATTCACTCCAATAATCAGTTTTCCACACTTTTTTTCATCATGCTTGAAGATATTGACTTGATATTTGTTATATAGTTTACACCATGACAAGTTATAGATCAAGTTAGCATTTTGTTCCAGTACAATGAATTCTAAACTGGTAGGGTACTATGTATTGCCATGCAATACTCTCAGAATGCTTGTTAATATCAGATTCGATAGTCAAAAATTTATCATGCCACTGGGCTTATATTAAGGTCTTATTAGCAGAAACTACAAAGCCCATTGAAAAGTTCTGTTATATGTGGTCTTCACAGATTTCATTTTATTTGTACCAATTTCAAATTCAATAGTCATTAACAAGTATTTGACGTCAATTTGAAGTAAAATGTATGGCTGCCAGTACCTTATATGAATTATCACTTCAAGAAGAGCCATCACGGACTGTTTTCAAACCACATGGTTACAGGAACTATTATTGGTAATGGTATTTTATTATATTAGATGGCTTATTAAAGAAACAATTAAAACTTTTTTTTTTTGCAAGAATTTGTTTTTTCTGTAAGATTTATTTTCATTGAGGAAACAAGTTATACTTCATATAATCAGAGACATAATAATACATATATTGTATTATATGTCTGATATAATCAAGCCCCTCCATTTGATAAAACCTTATCTATACAAACTAGGCTGATATCCAGTTGACTTTAATCAAAAGAAATGGAACTCTATTAGAGAAGGTATTAAAAATGGCCAATTTGGTTTATTTGAATTGTTTTTAAATCTGTTTCTATGGGCTTTAAAAGATTGATGTAGGTGCATGATTTGGGATTTTGTGTGTTGTATATACGTGTTTATACTAAAATTACAGTATGAAGCTGTTCACTAACACTTTTTAATTTTTTTTACTGAAAGCCATTGACAGACTACATACTTGTTGATCTTTCTTATGCATAATTTAAAAAAAAAATATGTGTGTTATCTAGGGTAATTAGTCTTCAACCTCTGAAAATGTTTAGTCTGCCATTCCACACAACCCATCAGACAATAGTTTTAACTTGATAAAAAACCTAAAAGTACATTAAATGATGCTTGATGGCTATTAGGTCCTTTTGTCTTTTGAAAAACAGCTGTCATGTAACGATCGTAATGATGCTATGTGGATATATTCATCGGTTTTCAAGAGCTGAATTGACAGCGTCATCCCTACAATGGCTTCCATTTTCACGATTGAAAATATTAAGTGGCATAATGGGAGATAATTTTGGCAATGTAGAATCCTGACTGAAATTTAAAGTGTTATGTTTATTTTATTTCACATTGGGAATTTTAATTGTTTTCAAAGAGTCTGAACTCTTGGGGTGTAGTTACCATTCAACTTCCGGTGTACAAGGTGTCAATTTAATCTCATTAGAACATGTAGGGATTTTCTTGGTAATCAAATAATTCACAACTTATATACATGTCACACTGTGGAAATATATGTCTCTGAGACATGATTATATTCAAATGAGAAATTAATTGCCATTTTCTATTAAATATTAATCTTAAATACACACTTAGAACATATTGAAACCCTAAATTTTTCGACAATCATAAAAAAACAACTCATAACAAGCCCATTTTGAGATAATTTTTCTATATATAAGAAAACACTTATTGTTAAGAACTTTTTCAAATTTTTCTTGAACTTTTATACATTTATATAAAGCAACTTTGTAAACAAAATTTATTCCAAAAAAAATCAAAAATGATCAAATAATTGTTAAGAAAACAATTTGTCAAAGTGGCTTAGTACTTTTAAAATGGCTTCGTGGTGCTAAGCAACATGGTTTACTCCTGGTTTGCCACATTTAATTATACCAATTATCTATTAGTAAAGAAAACAAATAAGACAAAAGGTTTAATAAGCATACACTTGTATAGTTTGTTCCAACTTTATAGGTATATAGTTTATCTGTGTTTTGTATATATTCAGGTATTCATTTTGTAACTCCATTTTTATTTGTTTTGATAAATAATAGATAAATCAGATAATTTTTCTCAATAATTTGATATCAATTCAATCGATTCAATAAAAATACAACTAATGACAAAACAATGGCATTCATTTATAAAGGTGTCTTAATAATTCATCAGTTTCTAAATGATTATGATATAAATTCACCAATATATGATAAAGTTTTCTTTTATTGCAAACATAATTTATATAATTTATGAATCAAATTTATACATGCATATATTGCATAAGGAAATAAATAAAGCACTATTCTTTTTTATAGACGTCAATTGACCAGTATTTTTTGGTATTTAGTGGTATTTACTGCCAGTCCGGTTAATACTTAGGTATTGACCAGTTTTTGCCATCCTTGACTTTTTTGCGTTTTTGTCTATTATTTGGAAAACTATAATAGATACATGGAAACTTCAAAAAGCAAACATGATCAGCAAGACAACATCTGCAAATAGGTCCACATTTTGTCAGTTATCTTTATATAGGGGTTATTGTTCTTAAACGACTATTTGTTAAGAGTTTTGGGCAAAAACCAGAGAAGAAAGAGAGACACTGGAAACATAAAAAATGATCAGCAATACAAGTTCAACAAAAATGTGATTTAAGTCATGAATTATATTCTACTCTACAATGTTGGAGAGTGATTATTGTTGAAGATGCACATAGACCTAGGTAAGAGACATAGGCTCTCTAGATCCTTTAGTTTCGTTTATTCTACACATGGTGTGTTTGATTTTGTTAAAAAAACAAAAAATTCACAGCATAATTGTTATTTCTAAATACTTATTTGTAACATTGTTTCATATCTTTTAGTTAATTGTGTTGACAGACATTTAGAAAAGATTGGTGATAATGTAGCCATAATATGGGAAAAAGATGAACCTGGCACAGAAGAATTTATTACATACAGGTAGAACACTTATGTTGAATAGAATGAAACATTTACAATGTATGAAACAGGTAAGATTTGGAAATTTGATAGCTTATGATTATTTTTGATAGAAGTTGATTTGATCATGGATTAATTGAATTCAAAAGTGACTCCTATAAATCAGGAATCAAAAAATGTTTTTATGCCTTGCAAAAATGATAATGGAGCAGATAAATTTTCCCATGTTAAAAGTCATTACAGTTATATTTCACATGGGTCAAGGGTCTTGAAAGCAATTTTGTTTATGCCTCATTATGAATTTGACTGAACCTATAGATTTGTGTTTTCTGTATGAGGTTATGAACAGAGCTCCAGATTAGACAATTATAAATACTCAATTTAGATCTAGGAATTTAAACAGTTAAATGATTTATATTTTCATTGGTTTTGAAAATAAAATAGTGAATGGAAATGGGGAATGTGTCAAAGAGACAACAAACTGACCAAAAAGCAGAAAACAGACCAATTAAGGCCACCAATCGGTCTTCTTTGCAGCAAGAAAATTGCGCACCCAGAAAATGTATGAACATAAGTTGTCAGACCACCAATTCAAAACCCCTATATAATCAACCAAATTAAACTCTTGCAGTGAAATTCTACGGTTCAGAAGTCAAGTGCTACTGAAATGACCACTGGTTATGTGGAAATCTTAAATAAGTATACTATGGAGCACATTAATCCTCAATTTGTTATGCAAAATCATGGACAAGTAAATTTAAGCTCAAAATGGTCTACATATATTTCTCTTTCACCAAAAGTTTCATTTCTGCAAATTTGTTTGTTAGTTTAAGTAAATAAGTAAACAATGACTTCAAAAGCATTATTTTTAAAGGCAGTACTGGAATCAGATTATTTTTCTTTTTCTCATCAGAACATTTGGTATGTTGAAAAAATGGAAATCCGCCTAAACTATCAATATCCATCTGAAACTTATTGAAAATCAGAGCTGTTCAACATCATCACCTGTATGACATGACCGACATACCTATCATCTCGGACCCTTTGTTCTGTATCAATTTCTATCTATTACATCCAATAAAAGTTTTATAAATTCCGATTTCATTTTCAACAAATAATTTTGACTGGTGCCCAAGTCTCTTTGTAAACAGATAAGTAGAAACGGACAGTGCCACAGTTGACATCGTCTAAACCCCCTCAGACCAAATGGAGTCTTCCATATTATAAGCATTAAGAAACTACATAACACTTGTTGCACTGACATATATGTCTCTGCTGTTGATCAAATGTAAAGTCAAATTCATTTAACATGTTAATAATCATCAGATGTGTTTATATATAATTATTCCTGTGTTGATTAAAATCTGAATAGATTGATAATGGTCTTTAATAAAGATATAGGGCATGGTGAAGATTATTAGCAAAAGCTAATATTAACAGTACAAGTGCTTTATTTCAAACCAGAATATACATTTCCAATGATGCTGTCCGTGATCTAATAGAGTGTATTAAAACTATTTATATATATATATATACTTAATTACTCTTATCGCCATGGCAGTCAGCAGGGTTTAAGAACATCTGTTGTTCGACATGCTAGTCAAATGCGTTTTTTTAAAATATACTTTTTCACTTTTTTGGTCTTTTGGAAAATGTTGTTTGTGCTGTATTTAGACCCCTCTACCAAGAAATTTGTTTTGCATGCACACGTATAAAAATGCCGTTTTTATCCAACGCAATCATAGGTTTGAACGTTGTTTTCAATTTAGACTTGTTTATATTTTTTGTTTGGGCTTGTTTTATATTTGCCTTTGGGTTTATGTAATCCGTTCATCCTATTTTGACTCTTCAAAATTCAAGAGTCAATCCTAAATTGAGGTAAATTATATGGCCTTCCAAATACCGTTTCGATTCCTAACATCACTGAAGAGACATTAATTGTCGAAATCCGGATATGGTGTACCAATTTTTGCACCTTATGTTTGCGGTATACCATCTTTCCTGCAAGTTTATTTATCCCCTACCGACGAAGTCGAAGGGGACTTTAGGTTTGCACTCTGTCTGTCCATCCGTATGTCTGGCAAATCAGCTTTCCACACTTTTTTTCTTCATTCTTGAAGATATTGATTTGATATTTGGTATATAGTTTTGCCATGACAAGTAATAGATCAAGTTCGAATTTTGTTCCGGTCTGATGATTTAGTCCAGAGTTATGGACCATAACTCTGGACCATATCTAATGTTAGAGTACTATCTTAAACCATATTTCTGTACAAAGGGAGATAACTCATTTTTTTAGACATTCTTTGGTAAATTATTTGAAGAATTTTTTGGCAGGTTTTTTGTTATTTTGTATAAACTAATTTTCTGAATGCTATATATATATAAAATAAATTATGAAGTGAAATCCTTTAATTAGATGATAATCTATTTTTATTAATGTATATATTACATTACATTGTGTTGATAAAAATTGTTGACATTTTATAGATAAGTTACAAATCTATATTAGTTTGTGACAAATAAAAGAAAAAATATTTGGAACTATTAATTATATTTGATTATAATTTGAAAATAGATATACACTGTATTACATCATATCTAATTTTAGAGAACTATGAATCATATCTAATGTTAAAGTGTTTTCCACACTTTTTTTCATCATTCTTGAAGATATTGATTGATAATTGGTATATAGTTTTATCATGACAAGGTATACAGATCAAGTTCGAAATTTTGTTTCGCTCTGATAAGTTTGTGCAGAGTTATGGTCCTTGGACTTGAAAAATTCACTCATTTAATCAGTTTTCCACACTGTTTTAAGTCATGCTTGAAGATATTGACTTTATATTTTCTTTTTGTTTACACCATGACAAGTAATAGAACAAGTTAGCTTTTTGTTCCAGTATAATGAATTTTTACCCAGTAGGGAACTATGCAATACTCTCAGAATGCTTGTTGTTTTCTGTTTGGTATTAAATTAATATTTAAGATCCATTTTGTTACATCTGGTGATCCGTTTATTTGGCAATCGCCATGGCAGTCAGCAGGGTTTAAGAACATCTGTAGTTCGACCTGCTAGTCGAATGCGTTTTGTTAAAATATACTTTTTCACTTTTTTGGTTTTTGTTGTAATACCACCATTGATTTTCCCCTATTAGTCTTTGTTAAATTTGCACTTTTCAAAAAATTGTGCAGAATTGATCTTTGTTTTAAATAAAGAAATACTTGGCATGAGTAAAGTTTTATCCTGTCCAGTACTATAGAAAAAATTTCACATAACATTTCATTGCATATAAGAAAATAACCATCACTGGAAGTTAACCAATCAAATTTTCCCCCTTTTTTAACCTGTGTACAAGCTTTAGTAACCATGTAACCTCAAGTTTCCAAAATATTCTATAGAAACCCCAAATAAAAAAATAATGGTGCTTTGAAATACCCAAGATATATGTTTATGACCCAGAAATGTTTTACTGCAATGAGATGTAGGATCAATTACCTACAACTGTCAAATTCAAGGGAATATTTTTTTTCGACCTATTTTCATATGCAACCGGATGTGACGTACTATGATTTGGTGGTATTACACCTTTTTGGAAAATGTTGTTTGTGCTGTATTTAGACCCTTCTACCAAGAAATTTGTTTTGCATGCACACGTATACAAATTGCGGTTTTTATCCAACGCAATCATAGGATTGAACGTTGTTTTCAATTTAGACTTGTTTAACTACTCTTATATATATATACCATTGTATACTGATATACTGAATGTGTTCACTCAACATATCTATATACAAATAATGCATTTATAATGGTTATCTGCAGTGAAAAGTCAAGTCACATCAACTGTCATATCTCAAAGCTGTCACAGTGAGTGAGTTTGTATGTCCCTTTGGTATCTTTTGGACAGTTATTGAATCAAACCATTTGTTTAGACAGTGTTTTCACTGCTTCCAATTTCCACATTTGTGAAATGCTCTTCAATTTTGTACCATATACTGAGTAATAATCTTTACATGAAAAAACGATATGCTTCCAAATTCATGAACTCATCTTGCCCAGCATAATTATTAGTCCCCTACCGACGAAGTTGAAGGGGACTTTAGGTTTGCACTCCGTCTGTCTGTCTGTCTGTCTGTCTGTCTGTCCGTCTGTCAGTCCAGCAAATCAGTTTTCCACACTTTTTTTCTTCATGCTTGAAGATATTGATTTGATATTTGGTGTATTGTTTTATCATGACAAGTTACAGATCAGTTTGAAGTTTGTTCTGGACTGATGATTTTGTGCAGAGTTATGGTCCTTGAACTTAGAAAATTCACTCAAATAATCAGTTTTGCTCACTTTTTATGCCCCTGCCGTAGCGTAGGGGGCATTAAGTTTTACTCTTGTCCGTCTGTACGTATGTACGTATGTACGTCCCAAAATTGGTTTCCGTTCTCTAACTTTAGTTTGCCTCAACCAAATGTTATGAAACTTATACACAATGCTTATTACCACAAAACAAAGATCAAGTTTGAATTTTGGCATCACTTTTACCGTTCTAGAGTTATGCCCCTTTACAAATGGAAAAATTTCCGTTCTCTAATTTTAGTTTGCTACAACCAAATGTTATGAAACTTATACACAATGTTTATTACCACAAAACACAGATCAAGTTTGAATTTTGGTGGCGTCACTTTAACCATTCTAGAGTTATGCCCCTTAAGAAATGGAAAAATTGCAAAATTTGTATTTTCTTCTTAATATCAAGTAATTTTTATACGACCGCAAAAATTTTTGCGGTCGTATATTGGTATGACGATGGCGTCGTCGTCGTCATCGTTTTCGTCGTCGTCCGAAGACACATTGGTTTTTGCACTCTTACTTTAGTTTAAGTGAATGGATCTCTTTGAAATTTTACCATAAGGTTAAATACCACAAAAGGAAGGTTGGGATTGATTTTTGGGGTTATGGTACCAACAGTTAAGGAATTGGGGGCCAAAAAGGGGCCAAAAATAAGCATTTTCTAGTTTCCAGA